TGTTGTATGTGTTTTTCCTCCCCCTGTCTGTCTTTATCTTCGGATTTGATGCAGGCCCGTTCGTACAGTGTTCTGATATCTGAGAGTTTGTGCGCTGTCCATGGTATTCCGATGATCTGTGAGTTCTTGTGTATGTCCAGCTTCTATTTTCTCCAGGATGTCATCAACGTATCTTTTCCAGAGTGTGGGTCTGCAGTGTGTGGGTGCTGTGTGGATGGCTTTTGTTTCCAGGTCTTCCATGAAAAAACTGTTCATTATTGCGGATAGTAGATCTCTCATTGTGAAGCCTTCTGTCTGTCTGTAGATGTTTCCTTTGAACTGAAAATAGGTTGATTTGGCAACGAAGTTGAGAAGAGTGGAGATGTCTTCAACTGTTAGGTTGGGGTAGGCCTGACAGACTCTGATTGGTCTGTCAGGCCTACCAGCTGATATATGACACGTCAGCAGCATGTCGGATGACGCTTCTGAGGAAGACTGCAGTCTCAGTCGAAACTGTCAAGCAGGTAAAACACATCTCCTTACACCTTCTCTGTCTGAATGTAAGAAAACCTTAAAATATTCAAATTAAGAAGACAGTATGAACCTTATCAATCCACAGTGAAAAGTTGTGGATGGTACCAAAAGAAGCGTTCCTTAGCGTCCCCATGTAGATCTAGTACTAAAAGGTGGAGCTAGAAACTCTGCAGTCTGATTGGTCAGTAGAGGACGGTCTCCTGGTTTTATGTAACCTCTGTTCATACATCAGTAAACTACTACTATAAAATGAAAGAGAAATAAATAACTTCATTCACTGGGCCGACTCCCGGCAACTTTTAAGGTGGAACGTTAACTTGTAATGTTACTCCAATGCATGAGTTGATGACGTGAATCCATCAGCACACCTTAAGTTTGAAATAAAGGCTTTTTAACTCCATTCAAATGCATCTGTTCCTGCTCCACGCATGAGTGCCTGAAGTTCATCTTTTGTTATCAGGTTCGAAGGTCCAGGTCCGTTTGGTGAAAACGAGTCTTAATCAGCAGGCTTAACAACGAGTCGGGATGTTTCAGTGTCAGTGTGAGATTAACGGCTCGGTGTCAGGTGTTAACTGCTGCCGCGAGGCTTCTGTCCAGAACATGGCAGGCAGTGATGACATCACCTTGTTCTGTGTTAGCTAACCAAGCAGACCATTTTTTCCCCCGTTAAAGGTTTTTTTGGGGGAGTTTTTCCTGATCAACTGTGAGGGTCCAAAGGACAGAGGGATGTTGTATGCTGTAAAGCCTCTGAAGCAAATTGTGATTTGTGATATTGGGCTTTATGGACTATTTCATTGCTATTCTGTTGCTAGGGCAACAACTTTGGTCCTTGTTTACGTCCTGTCAGCTTCTGCATTAACATACATTCAAACAGGAAATACAAAGGGACCTATTTAGAATGTTTATGTTGTCCAGTTTGAAACGGTCTATAAATAAAATTGATCGACTGATTGATCGAGAGCAGGAGGAGAGCGTCTCATGGAGGCGGTCCTTCAACGTTGCACCAAACCACATTAACAGCTGATCTACGCCCAACATCACTCACAGACTCTGACTCTGGGAAACACTGATCATCATAAGATCTCATCATAAGAAGCTCCCAAAAAAAGACTTTAAAACATGTGAACATAATTTTTCAGAGAAGTTGCAGTGAAATCAAACATTCAGTAAAACTGCCCACAACATCCTGAAGGGACTGACGACAGGAAGCAGCTCCACATTTTCCCATCAGCCACCTGTAAACTCAGGCAGAGGATGAGATTAGCGAGCCAGGACAACTTCATGCTCATGGAAATTAGCATAGCGAAGCAAGCTTCACATAACGGTCCAAACAGTTAGCATAGCATGCTAATGTGTCCACTGTCCTCTCAGCGGCCAGTGATACATCTTAAAATGCTCATTTGACTTCCTGATTGTTGATTGTTGAATCAGCATGACATCAGAGGTGGATACAGGTGGGCAGCAGGGGGCGGGGCCACACTGCCTCACTGCCTCACTTGGACTATAAAACGATGTCACAGTTGAGAGGCCAGTGAATACACATCATGTTAGTTTAGCATTAATGATCAATGGCTCATCATTCTGATCAGCTGAGCAGGAAGGCTGATTATTTCCTCCTCACACTAACTGATGATGATGATGATGATCATCATCATCATCATCATCATAACAACCGACCAGCCCCCAAAGATACTTCCTGTCCTCTCTGAACCCCCCACATGTTATCCAATCACAGGAGTCCCTCATCTCTCTGTGAACCAATCAGACCCTTGGAGCTCCTGGTTTTATGACGTCACGTTCCTGAACACGAACATGCAAACACAAGGAGAGCTGTCATGCACCAGTCAGCCAATCAGCATCCGTGGGGTCCTGACCCTCCCTGTTACCTGTGATGTCACTAATCAATAACATGATCAGGAGACACCTCTGTTTCTTTATGGACGACAACTCGTGTGACCGACAGCTCAGGATGCTGCCGTCGGGCCTCGCTGAGTGCCGCCGCCAGAGCCTTCAAGAAAGACACGAGGATCAAATCCTGGTCTGAGTCCTGGTCCTGGTCTGGATGGTTAATCCAGATCTGTACAGGTCTGTCCATGGTTAATCCAGGTCTTTACAGGTCAGTCCGTGGTTAATCCAGGTCTGTATAGATCTGTCCATGGTTAATCCAGGTCTGTANACAACATATGGTCGTGATTTTTAAATTCTCATTTCCTGTAGAGCAGTACTGCATAACTGACACTAGACTTTAATGTGATCCAAGAGAGTAAATCCACCGGGTCCAGGCTTAAGGAGTAGAAGAACAGGATGCTTCTTTCCTCTGTAGCCCCACTGATGATGAGGCTGATAAGACAGGACTATTTATACATCCAAAGCTACTTCCAGTTTACACACTGTGAATGCGGTGCTATCTGTAAAAGCTATAATAGCATATGACAGTATAGCTGTTTACTTTGGCAGGAATATTTCTGCAGAAAAATTGGGGAAAAAATCAATCAGTATCTATGGATTGCTCTAACGTAACATGACATATTGGTTTCTAATCTTTGTTAAATTGAGCTTCAACAGTACTGCATGGGAATGTCTTTTCTACACGACCCTTGCAAGCAGTGACAGTTTCTTACAGTATCCTCCCTTAAGGATATTCAATCAATCAATCAATCAATTTTATTTATAAAGCCCAATATCACAAATCACAATTTGCCTCACAGGGCTTTACAGCATACGACATCCCTCTGTCCTTATGACCCTTGCAGCGGATAAGGAAAAACTCCCCAAAAAAAACCCTTTAAGGAGGAAAAAAAAAAACGGTAGAAACCCCAGGATAGTGTGTGTTATATAGGTGGTAAAGCCCTATAGATCCTTTTAGGGCCAATGTCACAATGATGTAATTTCATTAGCTTGAGGCAAAACACGATTTTATGTGTTAAAAAGGTTATCATGTCCACCTAATCAGAAATTGGGGCAGTATTAAGAGGAATATTGGATTTCTAGGTAACGCTAACTGTTTAGTGCATTAGCTAACATTCGCTTTGCTTGCAAACCGTTCAAGTGTCGTCCTCCTTTATAAGATTGGCATGGTAATCAACCACAAAGCCAGCCGTTCCACCTTCAGCAATCCTGTCAAATCATCCATCCTTTGAGTGAGAGCATACAGTTAACCTATGGGGGAATGTAACAAACAGTCATTCAACATCTTGATGATTGCAGAGTTTGCATTACTCACCAAAAGCCCACTGATGGAATGACTAGCCACAGGCAGGAGTGACAACTGAACAGCCAGTTAATATAACAGATGGAGTTTGGAACCAGAAGCAACACTGGGGTCAAGCAGAACAGTTTAAACTGAGCTTTAATGCGCCACTTTAACAAATACTGCTAGTGCAGACTGGTGAAGCAACAGAGGGACTCAATGTTCAGTTTCAGAGTCCCTAGGGGAAAAGGATCTGTCCATGGCTCTCCACATGGAATGCTGAAGCAGCACACAGGCAAGTGCCGACGTTTGCTGGTCGCACACACAGCAGACAGTTCAATTGTGTGCAATAGTAACGAGAGGGGGCAGGCAGAGAGTGATGTCAGAAGAGCTGAGGTTCCGAAACAAGAAGTACTCACTGAGGGAACGGTCTCTTTGAAGCGAAGCCAGGCGTGGACAGGGCAGAGCTTGACAGCAGAAATGAAACGTTGAATCCGTGGTGCGCACACAAAGGCAACGTGTGCAGCCACACAGCAAAGCAATCCACAGCACTGAAGATCACAAGTGACTGAACCAGTAAACTCACTTTGAAAAGCTGGGTGGCGGTCTTTCCAGACAGCTGCAGAAAACAGGCAAACAGGAATCAGGAAGGCAGAGCTCATAGTCGAAAACAGAAGGCAGAGTGGTTTAGAGTGGCTGCAGACGAAGCAGGAGAGTCAGGAACATGCAGGGTCCATAACCAGGAAGGAAGCCAGAAGCAAACATTGGTAAGTCTTGCATGACGGTGAAGAACAATCTGGCAAGGAGTGTCTGTGAAGTGTGCATCTTTATAGGGACAGGAGATAATGATCTGTAGGTGAGAGGCCTGATCAGGTGGATGTGGTGGATCAGCAGGAGTGGAAAATGTGTGGACAGGGGATAGGCTGGCAGGCAGGTGTGGTGACGAGGCGGGGTGAGTGGAAAATTACTGAATGAGCTGAGGAGAAGGCATGTATGGCAAATGAAAAGTGTTCACTGTGACAGTTTATAAGCTCACATACGTGAATATTTTCACTAATGTTATGATCCACATCATCTGCATACACCGTGTCTTTGCTTTTTTCTCAGAAATTTTGTTTACACCTTAACCCTATAGTGCGTCCAAATTCAGACCTGTTCTTCTCTGTGGATTTTCTCCTCAACCATGCCACGCATATCACATGAAACAGCGGAATCGTAGCTTTCCGAGAAGACCAAGCACTTGTCGGTAGTCCAATGTCACAGCAAAAAAAAATGATAAAGTTACACTAAAATGATGTATAACAGAGCTTTCATACAGCTTTGCACACACATTATTCTTGGATGGATTACTCGCGAATGCAGGCTCGCACAGAAATGCCATGCAAATCACATGAAAGCGCAGGAGCAGAGCTTTCCAGTGATACCACACACATCATTGTGCTGTCATCCCATCACGCTATAAATCCAGATCAATTGTCTACAAAATAAAAACCTGACGAATTTCTTTACAATCCATTATACAGCTCTTGTTATCAGTCACTTCATATAGTGAGGAATATCATATCTTACCACGTCTTAGGCTTGCGTGTGTTTCTCCCTGTCTATCCACATTTGTAGTCCGGCTTTCAAGATGCAAATATCTCCATATTGTCCAGTTGACACTCCATCAAACTTTGTATGACAAGACCAGCCACTTCACCTTTGTGCACCCAGACAACTGCAGCCTAATTATGCATGCATGACAGGGCCGTAGTCACCATATACATTGAGGGGGACACGTGCCCCCCCATGCCCAAAATGCCCCCCCAATATATAACTGAAACTGAAAAACAACAACAAACTTTGTTTACTGCAAACAAAGTGGCAAATATTATCTTGGAGGACATCATTGCACTTGGTTGACTATTTTTCTATGATCTTAGATGTAAATATTGCATGTTTCTTTTAGATAAAACACATTTTTGACTTGTGAATGAGTCAATGGAATTTCTTGCAATAATAATGAAAAAATACTGGCAAACATGTCAGCCTGGAACAAACCACATGTTTTGGACAGCTGTGAAGTGACAGAATGTCCCACCATCATGGTTCTAATATTGCCAGATTCCAGAGAGTCTCCCCTCTTCATATATGGCAGAATATGTCAACTTCCAACTTGCTGTGGTGAGATACATGTAAAAATGTAAGAATTTAGTAACACAGATTTGTTTTTTTCATTGATATAAAAATTAATATAAAATACAGGCACATAGAAGGACATGAAATGGTAAAACAACAATGGCAAACCTGGATAGCCCAGATTATCCTGAAAAAAAACAAGATATAGCATGTGTATGTAGCCTTTATAATGACTGTGATATGAGCTTAAAAGTAAAGGCAGGAAAAATACCCCAAAAACGCCTAGGGCCCATAGGGTTAATCCAGGTCCGTATAGGTCTGTCCAGGTCTGTATAGACCTGTCCATGGTTAATCCAGGTATGTACAGGTCTGTCCATGGTTAATCCAGGTCTGTATAGGTCTGCCCAGGTATGTACAGGTCTGTCCATGGTTAGTCCAGGTATGTAAAGGTCTTTCCATGGTTAATCCAGGTCTGTATAGGTCTGTCCATGGTCAATCCAGGTCTGTCCATGGTTAGTCCAGGTATGTAAAGGTCTGTTCATGGTTAATCCAGGTTACGTTACATGGTTCATCAACAATAAAGTTACCTGGTCATGGTCAATTTCTGTGTCTCCAGAAATCACAATTCTCTTTTCGATCCTGGTCTCTGAAATCCCACCTTTGACCGTCTGAAGACAAAGACAGACAGAGAGGGACAGGAAGACAGAGACACAAAGAGAGGGACAGTCAGACAGTAGGATCATGTCTCACATTTGTCCTAGTTTCTGTGTCTGATTGTTGGAACGGTTCTATTTCCTGTTTAATATTCTGACATCGTCACAGTTTCTGCTGGAAAAGTCTGACTGACTGTGGTGATGTTTGTGTTACCTTGGTGATGTGTGTGGTGGTGGTGGTGTTGGCGGTCTCAGCGGTGAAGGTCTGGGAGCTCAGCAGCAGACCAGCAGGAGGATCAGAATCCGCTCGGCTCTGAAACACAGGAAACAGTATTGTCTTCCTGTTGTTGTTTCGTTGCCGTGGAAACAGAGTCAGGTGTTTTAACTACAGGCTGAAACATGAAGTTCCTGGTGTCAGACACAGACCGAACTCTGATCAGTTTACAGTCAATAATAAATATCTTAAATTAATCATCTGTGAACACACAGAGACAGATGGTCCTCACCCCCGGAGCTTCATATGTCAGAGTCTTCCTCATCACAGGGACCTCCTGAAGGACACACAGAGACAACTGTCACATGTTGACAACTCAGACAACTTCATGATGAGGAGACATGTCCCTCAGACTGGTTTCACTGAGACATGTCCCTCAGACTGGTTTCACTGAGACGTGTCCCTCAGACTGGTTTCACTGAGACATCTCCCTCAGACTGGTTTAACAGAGACATGTCCCTCAGACTGGTTTAACAGAGACATCTCCCTCAGACTGGTTTAACAGAGACATGTCCCTCAGACTGGTTTCACTGAGACATCTCCCTCAGACTGGTTTCACTGAGACGTGTCCCTCAGACTGGTTTTACTGAGACATGTCCCTCAGACTGGTTTAACTGAGACATGTCCCTCAGAGTGGTTTAACTGAGACATGTCCCACAGACTGGTTTAACTGAGATATGTCCCTCAGACTGGTTTAATTGAGACATGTCCCTCAGACTGGTTTAACTGAGACATGTCCCTAAGACTGGTTT